TTTTTTTTTTGGGGGGGGGGTTCCCTGTTTTCCAGGTGGTCTTGACTCAGTAGAATACTATGATATTACCACTAACAAGTGGAATGCTGCCTCAAGGATGCCGTGGAGAAGTCTCACAGTGAAATGTGTGCCTGTCGGTGACGTCATTTTTGTGCTGGCAGGCAGGGGACTAGGGGCACAGTGCCTCACAAATGTCCTAGAATACCACACAAAAACCAATAGGTTGGTACATCAACTAAATACTGTTGACATAAACTATATGAATAACTAAATATAAAAATGGACAGCACTTTATTTTTCAGAATGTCTAAACATCTCATGAATATGAATTTATTCTTAGTGGTAAATGTGTGTCAGTCAAACCATTTTGGTTGCACTTCTTTAACAAAATGATACATTCTTGTTAGAAATCAACATAAGCGATTGGGCAGTTGGGTTGTAAAAAGTAGTGCCTAATATGACTTACCTTATTATTTTATGATGCTTTAGCCACTGCTGATATTTGTAAAAGAACCATCATTACTATAAAGTCTGAGCAGTAAACACTCAATCTATTTGCTCAACTTTTTACTGAAACATTTCTTTTGTGTTCAGGTGGGTAACATCCAAAGCTCAAGCTTTTTTCTCCACCAGCTGCATTATCTGCACGGTTGGTCCATGAGAGTTCATTGAAGGCAGCCGCAAAATGTTTTTATTTGCCTCATCCTCATAGGACAAGATACACATTTGATTGTTATGATGCTTGTTTGAGACCCCTAGGATTCCTGTAGTGGAATAGTAAACTGATTTGCACAAGGACCTACTACTGAAAGGGTTACTCATCACAATATTTAATGTGCACGTTTACAGAATGGTTATGTTCTTTTAACTTTGTTTAGCAGTAAAAATTCTCTTGCTTGTAAATGTTTGGAAGATATGTGCTGTGTTTTTATTGATTCATGACTAATTTAATAAAAGTGCTCTGCTAAGGATTTGAAATGTTCTTGTAGGAGTCTCTTTCCTCCCCCCCCCCCCCTTGCTTTGCGTAAGTTCCTTGCGTGCGTGTGCGTGCGTGCGTGTCACTGACTTTCAGGATATATGACTGACTTTAATTATTAAACATTCGCACATAAATAAGTGACATCATATTCAGTACTTTTGACAGTTCACTCTTCGGCCGCTCCATCTTATTAGGGAAATTCCATCCATCCATCCCATCCATCCATTCGCTTCCGCTTATCCGTTTCAGGGTCGCGGGGGGCGCTGGAGCCAATACATAAATGTAAATTTCAAAACTCAACCCCATCATTTAATTTGTTTTTGATTGAAATTGAATATTACTTAAACTCTCTTAAATTAACTTCCAATAAAAAAGGTTTATCATTGATTGAAATTCATTCAGAAATGTTTAACGAATGAGCTGTCACAACTTTCAAGTACAAAGTTGTTATGAAGTCTGTCACATTCCCCCCCTTTTTTTTCTTTTTTCTCCTTTATTTATTTATCCTTCTTATTTCATTGTACTGTATATTGTTACTCTTATTTGCCTTGTATGTCTACTGTACAAACTGAACTGGAATGACTGACTGTTCGCTTTATAAGTTCAATAAAGTTTGGAAGAAAAAAAAAAACCCTCTTCGGCCGCTCCCTTCTGCCGTATTTTGCGGCAAAATTATCCACACCCACCGCCGCGCTATGAATTGTGGGATATATGGGACCACGAAGCGTGCACCAGACCACGCTTGATATTTGGGGAAATCGACGGCGCATTTGGAGTATGCATTTGAAGTACACTTCGAATTGGGACAGCCGTCGTGGCGTGGCGGTGACGTAACCGCACTTGAAATGCGTACTTCAAGCGTGCAGACCCTGAATTGGGACACAGCCAGTGTCTGATGTAGAGCAGGTGTGCTTGAAAGCTATTATTTTTGTGGAGTAACAAACTGGCAGCCCTGGAGTGTTTTCTGCTTGTTTTTACCTCAGCAGTTATCACCTTAATGGGGATGTGTCTGTGTAAGCCAAACAATAAATGATTCAGGATAGTTATTTGTCTATTGGCATTTTTTTTTTCAGCACTGTAACTGCCGGTTAAACAGGTGAATACACTCCAGCCTCATTCTGTGCGAGTTTCCTGAAAATACAATGTTGAGAATCTTCAGCAGAATTATGGTAAGCAATTCAGTGTAGTTGTTTAGGATTTATCTTACTGAAGTAATAACAAAAGCCCATTACCTTGTATTCATAAATATGTGTGAGGTTTTATGTTTTTGTTAACATAATAATTAACAGAAGCAATGTCTTCATGTTTTAACCAAATGAATGCTAGTAAAAGTCTAAGGACTTATTATCTGATCTTCTTTTATTCTATATTCGTGTATTTTTGTCTTTCTGTCTCCCAGGTGAAGTTGGGGAAGATGAATCCTCCAGACCAGGTCAGATCTTATCAGTTAGTGAAGCCTGTACGAGTGATTCTTATTAGTGACAGATACTTGAACCAGCAGAAGGGACTTCCCAGGGTACCTGTCCCCCCTCTGCGGAAAACGTGAGGGCTACCTCAGTGCCCTGGAGCCCATAATAGAAGAGGATGAGTGGAAGCGAGCGAAACAGCTGGTTGAGGCCTTTATGAAAAGAGGAGGGGTTGGAGAGGAACTGCAGAGAAGCCTGGAGAGGAAAGCATGCAACACTGACAACTGGGTGAGCTCATTTACATCTTACTATTCGTCACTGATTGAAGTAAATAAGAACAACCCCAGGTTTCTCTTCAGCACTGTAGCCAGGCTGACAAAAAGTCAGAGCTCTTTTGAGCCAACCATCCCTTTAACGTTAACTAGTAATGACTTCATGAACTTCTTCACAAATAAAATTTTTATCATTAGAGAAAAAATTACCAGTAATCATCCCACAGATGTAATATTATCTACAGCTACTCTTAGTACCATTGATGTTAAGTTAGACTCTTTTTCTCCAATTGATCTTTCTGAGTTAACTTCAATAATTACTTCCTCCAAACCATCAACCTGTCTTTTAGACCCCATTCCTACAAAACTGCTCAAAGAAGTCCTGCCATTAATTAATTCTTCGATCTTAAATATGATCAACCTATCTCTAATGATCGGCTATGTACCACAGGCCTTCAAGCTGGCTGTAGTTAAACCTTTACTCAAAAAGCCATCTCTAGACCCAGCAGTCTTAGCTAATTATAGGCCAATCTCCAACCTTCCTTTCATATCAAAAATCCTTGAAAGAGTAGTTGTCAAACAGCTAACAGATCATCTGCAGAGGAATGGTTTATTTGAAGAGTTTCAGTCAGGTTTCAGAGCTCATCACAGCACAGAAACAGCTTTAGTGAAGGTTACAAATGATCTTCTTATGGCCTCTGACAGTGGACTCATCTCTGTGCTTGTCCTGCTAGACCTTAGTGCAGCATTCGATACTGTCGACCATAATATCCTATTAGAGCGATTAGAACATGCTGTAGGTATTACAGGTACTGCGCTGCAGTGGTTTGTATCATATCTATCTAATAGACTCCAGTTTGTGCATGTAAATGGAGAGTCCTCTTCACACACTGAGGTTAATTATGGAGTTCCACAGGGTTCAGTGCTAGGACCAATTCTGTTTACATTATACATGCTTCCCTTAGGCAGATCATTAGAAGACATAGCATACATTTTCACTGCTATGCAGATGACACCCAGCTCTATCTGTCCATGAAGCCAGATAACACACACCAATTAGTTAAACTGCAGGAATGTCTTAAAGACATAAAGACCTGGATGGCCGCTAACTTTCTGCTTCTTAATTCAGATAAAACTGAGGTTATTGTACTCGGCCCTGAAAATCTTAGAAATATGGTATCTAACCAGATTCTTACTCTGGATGGCATTACCTTGGCCTCCAGTAACCTGTGAGGAACCTTGGAGTCATTTTTGACCAGGACATGTCCTTCAACGCACATATTAAACAAATATGTAAGACTGCTTTCTTCCATTTGCGCAACATCTCTAAAATTAGAAATATCCTGTCTCAGAGTGACGCTGAAAAACTAGTTCATGCATTTATTACTTCCAGGCTGGACTACTGTAATTCATTATTATCAGGATGTCCAAAAAACTCCCTGAAAAGCCTTCAGCTAATCCAAAATGCTGCAGCAAGAGTCCTGACAGGGACTAGAAAGAGAGAGCATATTTCTCCTGTTTTGGCTTCCCTTCATTGGCTTCCTGTTAAATCCAGAATTGAATTCAAAATCCTGCTCCTCACATACAAGGTCTTAAATAATCAGGCCCCATCTTATCTTAATGACCTTGTAGTACCATATCACCCTATTAGAGCACTTCGCTCTCGCTCTGCAGGCCTACTTGTTGTTCCTAGAGTATTTAAAAGTAGAATGGGAGGGAGAGCCTTCAGTTTTCAGGCCCCTCTTCTGTGGAACCAGCTTCCAGTTTGGATTCGGAGACAGACACTATCTCTACTTTTAAGATTAGGCTTAAAACTTTCCTTTTTGCTAAAGCATATAGTTAGGGCTGGACCAGGTGACCCTGAATCCTCCCTTAGTTATGCTGCAATAGACGTAGGCTGCCGGGGGATTCCCATGATGCATTGAGTTTTTCCTTTCCAGTCACCTTTCTCACTCACTATGTAGTTAATCAGACCTCTCTGCATTGAATCATATCTGTTATTAACCTCTGTCTCTCTTCCACAGCATGTCTTTATCCTGTCTTCCTTCTCTCACCCCAACCGGTCGCAGCAGATGGCCCCGCCCCTCCCTGAGCCTGGTTCTGCCGGAGGTTTCTTCCTGTTAAAAGGGAGTTTTTCCTTCCCACTGTCGCCAAAGTGCTTGCTCATAGGGGGTCATATGATTGTTGGGTTTTTCTCTGTATCTATGAAGCGCCTTGAGGCGACTTTTGTTGTGATTTGGCACTATATATAAATAAAATTGAATTGAATTTACTGCCACTAAAGAGGTTCAAGTTGCAGTGACCAGACATAGGGAACTGACTGAAAATGAATCATCATGTTATAGGGAAGGAAGAAGATGGAATTAAAAAGCTCTCAGGTAGGATCAGTTAGAACAAAAAACATCAGGCCTTATTCATTAGTAAAAATAGAAAAGTACTATAGAAATGCTATTCCAGAGGACTATACAATGAAGAAATTTCAACATACCCAGTCTTTCTTTATATGGCTTCACAAAACCTAAAAACTGCAGGCAGCAATGAAGAGTACTGATAATTAAATGTATTGTGTCAAACAAAGCAGCTCTGTTTCAGAACATTTGGTAACTGAACACCACTGTGATTGAAAAGTTGAAATGAATCTTTATTGGTCTTATTGATTAACAATGTTGCATTAAACAGTAAAATGAAACACTGTTGCTGCAAATGTGATGACGTAAATCCAAAAGAGAACTTGTATTTTGATCATTGCAAGTGGGGAAATAATTCATTAAGTGAAATTTATATAAATCTGTCTTACTGCTCACTGTGCTTCAAGTTCTGCCATCAGTTTCTAATCTGACAGCTGCCCATCAGAGTTTTGAAACTTAAATGTTTATATGCATCGGGTTAAAGTTTACTCTGTGTGTTCAAGTTTGACACTGTCCCACAGCCTGATTTGGAAACTAGTTTATCACTAACAAAGTGAAATTGAGTGAATGCTATTCACAAGCAGCAGCAAAAGTAATATTTAGTCTAGAAGTAATATACATTAATCATAATATTTTTGGTTTATAAGTGTTTTTATAAAATATAATTCTTTGACTGTCTTAAGTGAGCTGTGGTACTGCACTCCATTAATTTAAAAAATGTGATTTGATGTATAATTTGTCTATTTGCCCTGGGCCTTATCATTAAAGGCAATGGCAGAATGTACAGCTGTAGTTATAGTAATTGATGAAAATACTCCAATTACAGAAAATGGTGTAAATTTGTCAAGAACTGCAGATAGAGTAGGAACACTTAAATGAAATTTTGCAACATCTTAGAAACTCGAGTGATGAC